TAAGGCTTTGAAAAATGTTAAAAATAGTCATTTTGCTTGGAAAAAATGTGAAACAGTAATTCATGGGGTCAAATGGACTTTTCATCAACGTGCATTCAAGCTATAGTCTGTTTCCTATTTGTATTGATTTCCATATCTAAATCTAGGGTGGGCTCGAATGGCGACAAAGTATGAAGAGAATAGAACGTTTTTGTGATATCTACTGTTTTTATTGGAAAAAGCATGTATATATCTTGAATTTGGAGATACTTTTTGGTTTTTAACCATAATGATCGTGTCTCAGTTGCTATTCTAGCAAAAAGCTAATTTGGTGAAAATTGGACAAAAGGGTCCCTAAGCAAACACCAACGATTTAGTTACATTGCAAAGTAGAAAAATTAATCTTGGCATTGAATATTGTAGTTCAAGAATAGTTTTTCTTGCCAAAGTAGTAATATTATCATATTTTCAAAATTTGGAAAAACTATAGTCTGTTTCAAAAACGTGTTTTTTCAAGAAATGATTTCATTTAAAGCCATTCTTCAAAATTCGATGTAGCTTTTCCATATCAGAACGGTTTTGTCGGCAATATGATCAGTGCTGGATGACCTTTGAAAAATTAGGCCAGTAAATAAACATTATCTTCATGTCTTTTTGAACAGTACCGTATTTGGTGAAAAAATCAGTTCCAATTTTTGGCCTGATCGGTGGGCAAAAACTAATTCTCCGAATTCAGAAAGTGATCAGATAATGTTTTGAAGATGTGATATTATCTAGATAGACGCTAGCGCTTCATTTGGCCCGGGCGCTTAATTTTCAGAAATTTTTTTCATTACCGTATAGGTAACAAGAGCGCAATTATTTGTTTACATTTTACCGGCAAGTTTTTTACCCCAAGATGGTACTCAGAATAGAATCCTATACGGCTTCTGATTGGATGATACAGGATTGGAATTACATTTAATCGAAAGCTTATCCAATTAGGTTTAAAAAATGCAGAAAATCATATTCACATTTTACAAAGCATAGAAAATATCTTCCATTTCTGCACGTCGGAGCCATTAAAAATATGCCTTTTTCATTAAGCGAAAAAAATAGACGATCTTTTTCAACTGCATTTTAAGTCAATTTTTGCCGCATGACCATGTATATTTTTTTGGTTGTAATGCAACACTGGCATTTCTAGTAACAGGAACTGCTACCCGTTTTTCCCTATTTTGTGTAGTCTTCGAGGGAAAAAATACGGAACACCAGTGGTACCCTATGGAAAATGCATTACGAATAATTGCGCTCTTGTAACCTATAGAAAAATGACATTTTTTTTTAATAAGGCTTTGAAAAATGTTAAAAATAGTCATTTTGCTTGGAAAAAATGTGAAACAGTAATTCATGGGGTCAAATGGACTTTTCATCAACGTGCATTCAAGCTATAGTCTGTTTCCTATTTGTATTGATTTCCATATCTAAATCTAGGGTGGGCTCGAATGGCGACAAAGTATGAAGAGAATAGAATGTTTTTGTGATATCTACTGTTTTTATTGGAAAAAGCATGTATATATCTTGAATTTGGAGATACTTTTTGGTTTTTAACCATAATGATCGTGTCTCAGTTGCTATTCTAGCAAAAAGCTAATTTGGTGAAAATTGGACAAAAGGGTCCCTAAGCAAACACCAACGATTTAGTTACATTGCAAAGTAGAAAAATTAATCTTGGCATTGAATATTGTAGTTCAAGAATAGTTTTTCCTGCCAAAGTAGTAATATTATCATATTTTCAAAATTTGGAAAAACTATAGTCTGTTTCAAAAACGTGTTTTTTCAAGAAATGATTTCATTTAAAGCCATTCTTCAAAATTCGATGTAGCTTTTCCATATCAGAACGGTTTTGTCGGCAATATGATCAGTGCTGGATGACCTTTGAAAAATTAGGCCAGTAAATAAACATTATCTTCATGTCTTTTTGAACAGTACCGTATTTGGTGAAAAACTCAGTTCCAATTTTTGGCCTGATCGGTGGGCAAAAACTAATTCTCCGAATTCAGAAAGTGATCAGATAATGTTTTGAAGATGTGATATTATCTAGATAGACGCTAGCGCTTCATTTGGCCCGGGCGCTTAATTTTCAGAAATTTTTTTCATTACCGTATAGGTAACAAGAGCGCAATTATTTGTTTACATTTTACCGGCAAGTTTTTTACCCCAAGATGGTACTCAGAATAGAATCCTATACGGCTTCTGATTGGATGATACAGGATTGGAATTACATTTAATCGAAAGCTTATCCAATTAGGTTTAAAAAATGCAGAAAATCATATTCACATTTTACAAAGCATAGAAAATATCTTCCATTTCTGCACGTCGGAGCCATTAAAAATATGCCTTTTTCATTAAGCGAAAAAAATAGACGATCTTTTTCAACTGCATTTTAAGTCAATTTTTGCCGCATGACCATGTATATTTTTTTGGTTGTAATGCAACACTGGCATTTCTAGTAACAGGAACTGCTACCCGTTTTTCCCTATTTTGTGTAGTCTTCGAGGGAAAAAATACGGAACACCAGTGGTACCCTATGGAAAATGCATTACGAATAATTGCGCTCTTGTAACCTATAGAAAAATGACATTTTTTTTTAATAAGGCTTTGAAAAATGTTAAAAATAGTCATTTTGCTTGGAAAAAATGTGAAACAGTAATTCATGGGGTCAAATGGACTTTTCATCAACGTGCATTCAAGCTATAGTCTGTTTCCTACTTGTATTGATTTCCATATCTAAATCTAGGGTGGGCTCGAATGGCGACAAAGTATGAAGAGAATAGAATGTTTTTGTGATATCTACTGTTTTTATTGGAAAAAGCATGTATATATCTTGAATTTGGAGATACTTTTTGGTTTTTAACCATAATGATCGTGTCTCAGTTGCTATTCTAGCAAAAAGCTAATTTGGTGAAAATTGGACAAAAGGGTCCCTAAGCAAACACCAACGATTTAGTTACATTGCAAAGTAGAAAAATTAATCTTGGCATTGAATATTGTAGTTCAAGAATAGTTTTTCTTGCCAAAGTAGTAATATTATCATATTTTCAAAATTTGGAAAAACTATAGTCTGTTTCAAAAACGTGTTTTTTCAAGAAATGATTTCATTTAAAGCCATTCTTCAAAATTCGATGTAGCTTTTCCATATCAGAACGGTTTTGTCGGCAATATGATCAGTGCTGGATGACCTTTGAAAAATTAGGCCAGTAAATAAACATTATCTTCATGTCTTTTTGAACAGTACCGTATTTGGTGAAAAAATCAGTTCCAATTTTTGGCCTGATCGGTGGGCAAAAACTAATTCTCCTAATTCAGAAAGTGATCAGATAATGTTTTGAAGATGTGATATTATCCAGATAGACGCTAGCGCTTCATTTGGCCCGGGCGCTTAATTTTCAGAAATTTTTTTCATTACCGTATAGGTAACAAGAGCGCAATTATTTGTTTACATTTTACCGGCAAGTTTTTTACCCCAAGATGGTACTCAGAATAGAATCCTATACGGCTTCTGATTGGATGATACAGGATTGGAATTACATTTAATCGAAAGCTTATCCAATTAGGTTTAAAAAATGCAGAAAATCATATTCACATTTTACAAAGCATAGAAAATATCTTCCATTTCTGCACGTCGGAGCCATTAAAAATATGCCTTTTTCATTAAGCGAAAAAAATAGACGATCTTTTTCAACTGCATTTTAAGTCAATTTTTGCCGCATGACCATGTATATTTTTTTGGTTGTAATGCAACACTGGCATTTCTAGTAACAGGAAATGCTACCTGTTTTTCCCTATTTTGTGTAGTCTTCGAGGGAAAAAATACGGAACACCAGTGGTACCTATGGAAAATGCATTACGAATAATTGCGCTCTTGTAACCATATAAATTTGTCGTGGACATTGTTTTCATCCGTTTTCTGGTATCCCTATTTATTTATATATGGTTGTTCACCCTTCTAATAAAAGGGAACCAGTCGTCAGCGCGATATACCTAAATACCAACGAAATCTAGAACGAGGCTCGACCATGTGCTTGCAATAAACACAATCTATAAATACCGCTCAATGTAAACAAACAATCAAGGATTCGATCTCATTCGATGCTGAAATGGAAACAGGGGGCTATCCTTGGTAAAACATTGATAAGTTGAAAATGCCAACATGAATAACCAGAAAAGTTTCGAGTTGAAAAAACTAAAGCAGAAAACAATCTACTAGGCACACAAAATTAACGAAAGTGACAAAAAAGAGGGTATTGATAGGGTTTTTTAAGATAGAGAATAATGGGCAAAAAAACATAAAGAATATTTGTTTTGAGAAAAATTACGCAAAAAGTAAGGAATTGAGATAAAGGAGGTGTTAAAATATACAGAAAATAAGCTAAAAAAAATTAATAATACAGAAATGAAGGCCCCTTCCAGATCCAAAAGAAGTACCATAGAATTAACTTTAATGTCTAAGACCAAGGATTTGTATACAAATCCTTGTTTAGACTAATAAAAATATGAAAGAATATTAGGAATAATTTTAAACCGGTTGGGGACATCCACTAATGAGGGAATTTCACCCTTAAAAAGTAACAATCCCTAAGTTAAGTAATAATTTACTAGTGCTTCAATGTCTTTTTACTTGAAATGGTACAAGTTTATGGAAAAAAGAATTTTTTTTTGGCAAAAGAACTGTTATAATTTTTAATTGCAGAAAATGAGAATTTTTCATTTGACCAGGAGAAAAAACCCACATTTTATATTCACTTCAAGATACAAAAAATGTAACCTCAAAATGCAGGATTTTACATCTAATTTTCCAAAATTTTCAAGGGGGGGAATGCCCCCAAACCCCCCTAGAAGGTTCCCAATGGTAGTAATGGTGAAATTTTTGGGGCCTGTAAAATTTCATGTGGGCCTTTAAAATTTGAAAACCAAAGGCCCACCTGGCCTGTGCCTTGAAAATTATAGTGTGAAGACTGAGTGTAGCAATGTATACATACCTAGTTTTGTAGCACTTGACAGTGAACAAAAGGCACTCAAAATCAACCCTAAAATCATACCTAGAAAGAAAAAAATGAAACTTAGTATTAGCTTATAATTACATGTGTTATCTGCCCATTTATTACAGGATGTTCAAAACAATTTTGTTAGGACTTAAGTGAGAATTTCATAATGTAACATGACCGTACCCAAATAGCTTTTAGTACCAAAATTTGAGTATTCCTCATTACAGAATCATGGGTCGTTTGGAGGTCAGTTCAACCCATTTTTCTATATTTCCATATTGATTCAAAATTAAACTAGTGAAACTATATAGTGAATGAGGACACATCTACAAAAAACACAGAATGGAAACTTTTGCCTATCTATCTTCTTTAATTTATGCTTTAAAAAAACACAAAAGAGGGAAAAATAAATGAGGAATGTGTCCATGGGACATAGATGATGCATGTATTTAAGATTATAAAGAGACATAACTCAACAACGGCAAAAGTGACACTACCTAAATTTGTACTTTGTCTGTGTTTTGTTGTAATAAGCATTGTGTATAAGTTTCATAACATTTGGTTGAGGCAAAGTTAGAGAACAACAAGAGGCTGTCAGAGAGACAGCAAACCGGATTTTCCTGCAGAGGTAGAACCATGAACAGTTGAGCAAGTATGGACACTACATTTAAACTTAAAACAGCTCTGAATTTGGATTGTGATTGAATATGTGACACAAAATGAATGTAGTCAAAGAACTGATATATTTGGAATTGGACATTTAAATACCTATTATGGTCCAATATCCAAAATCTAAGTACATATTAGAATCAGCATATCAAAGAACCCCAAGAATTCAATTTTTGATGTTATCAGACAAAAGTTTAATCTAGGACCCTTTGGACCTCAATGTGGACCAATTTGATAAAGGAGCCCACAATCCAAATTCTCTCAATACACCAGGTTAGACTCAGCATTTCAAAGAACCCCATAAATTCAATTTTTGTTGAATCAAACAAAGTTTAATTTTGGACCCTGATTTGGACCAACTTGAAAACTGGGCCTAAATATCTAATATTTAAATAGAGTTTAGATTCAGCATTTGAAAGAACCCTATATATATATTTAATTTATGTTGAAATGAAACACAGGTTAATTTTATCCATAATATTTTCTGTGCAAATGGAAATAACTCAAACTGGATAAATAGTTCTCTAAAATAAGATATGATGCAATTTTTCAAATTATAATCAATAATATAATAACAACAACCAGTGATGACTAAGTTCTCTAAAATTAGATATGATTTAACACTCAAACATTGTTAGAATCAGCATATCAAAGAACCAAAGAATTCAATTTTTGATGAAATTAAACAAAAGTTTAATTTAGGACCCTTTGGACCTCAATGTGGTATTATCTTATTAATAATGAAAAGCTCGACTGTTTACAAGTTCTTCAACAGGAGGGGGGTGGGGGTGACCCCAGGGGACTCGCCTTATATTTCATTTGATTTGTTTTATTGTCCCATACAAGAATATATATGGTTTCAGGTTGGGGATCTTGACCGTTTACAAGTTTTCAAAAAGAATGGGGATGAGGATGGTCCTAGGGACCCCCCCAATATTTCATTTGATTTGTTTTATTGTCCTATACAAGAATATATATGGTTTAGAGGTGGGGTTCTCGACCGTTTACAAGATAAAAGCACATTCTCAAATTGAAGGGGGGTGGGGGTAAAAAATATATGGTTTAGGGAGACTTTATTATCTACAAAATGTCTAATAATGAACAGTAAATTTCAAACTTCATTTATACAGTCCTACTAGTAAATTTCAAACTTTATATATACAGTCCTACAGATCTTATCAGGAAACAGAAATTTCTCAAATAAATCTGTCACTCCAATGATTATCATATGCTAAGATATAACCCAGATCTAATTAATAATTAATAATGTAATAATCTTCAAAATGACTTATAATATAGCTTATAATCATCACCACTTAGGAAATAGATAATTTTCAAATAAATCTGTCACTCCAATTTTTATTGTGAGATAAGACAAGTCATAAAAGTTTCAAACAATTTATCAATGATATTTCGGCAATAACTCAAATTTATTTCCATGAACCAGTAACAAAAAACCAAAACAATTCTCTAAAATTAGATATGACTTAACCACTCATAAATCTCTAAAATTAGATATGATTTTATATCTATCAACTAAACACATCACTTTTCAAAACAAATAACTCAAACTTATTTCCATAAACCAGTAAACAAGAGGCTCTCAAGAGCCTGAATCGCTCACCTGTATTTCAGAGGAGAAGATTTTTAAATGTTAGCAAACTTATTGAACAAATTGTGTAAAATTGTCTTAAAAGGGCAATAACTCCTTAAGGGGTCAATTGACAATTATGGTCATATTAACTTTTTTGTAGATCTTACTTTGCTGAACATTATTGCTGCTTACAGTTTATATATATTTATAATAATATTCAAAATAATAACAAATAAAATGCTCCGCTGGGTGAAGCTTGATACGACCGCAGAGGTCGAACCCTGAACAGTTGGGGCAAGTATGGACACAACATTCAAGCTTGATACACACTGAATTTGGATTGTGATTAAATATTTGACACAGCATGTTTCTGACACAGAATGAATGTGGTCTAAGAACTTATAAATTATTAAATGACCTATTCAAACCATATCATTATTATTGGCTTTTATATATAAATCAGAAATAACCAATTTAAAATGGAAAATTTTAAAGAAAAAAAAGGAAAAAAAAATCCCTCCCCCAAATTTTTTGGACCCCCTTATGATTCATCACCCCCAAACTCAATCTAAGCCTTCCCTTTATGGTATGGTACCTTGCAGTACAACTTCAGAGAGATCCATACACTTGAACACAAGTTATTGTCTGGAAACTAGAAAAATGCTTGTTTTTCTGCCCTTTTTGGCCCAAAATTCCTAAACGTTTAGGGCAATTACCCCCAAACTCAAACCCAGCTTTCTCTTTGTGATATGGAACCTTGTAGTACAATTTCATAAAGATCCATACACTTACACACAAGTTATTGTCCTGAAACTAGAAAAATGCTTGTTTTTTGCCCCTTTTTGGCCCCTAATTCCTAATTCCTAAACTTTTGAGGCAGTTACCCCCAAAATCAATCCCAGCCTTCCCTTTGTGGTATGGTACCTTGTAGTACAATTTCAGAGATATCCATACACTTGAACACAAGTTATTGTCTGGAACCTAGAAAAATGCTTATTTTTGGCCCTTTTTGGCCTCTTTTTCCTAAACGTTTTGGGCAATTACCCCCAAACTCAATTCCAGCTTTCCCTTTGTGATATGGAACCTTGTAGTACAATTTCAGAAAGATCCATACACTTACACACAAGTTATTGTCACGAAACTAGTAAAATGCTTGTTTTTTTGCCCCTTTTTTTGCCCCTAATTCCTATAATTTTGAGGCAATTACCCCCAAAATCAATCCCACAATTCCCTTTGTGATATGGAACCCTGTAGTACAATTTCATAAAGATCCATACACTTGAACAAACGTTATTGTCTGGAAACTAGAAAAATGCTAATTTTTGGCCCCTTATTCCTAAACGTTTTGGGCAATTGCCCCCAAACTCAATTCCAGCTTTCCCTTTGTGATATGGAACCTTGTAGTACAATTTCAGAAAGATCCATACACTTACACACAAGTTATTGTCATGAAACTAGAAAAATGCTTGTTTTTTGCCCCTTTTTTGGCCCCTAATTCCTAAAATTTTGAGGTAATTACCCCCAAAATCAATCCCAGCATTCCCTTCGTGATATGGAACCTTGTAGTACAATTTCATAAAGATCCATACACTTGCACACAAGTTATTGTCCTGAAACTATAAAAATGCTTGATTTTTGCCCATTTCTTGCCCCTAATTCCTAAAATTTTGAGGCAATTAACCCCAAAATCAATCCCAGCCTTCCCTTTGTGGTATGGTACCTTGTAGTACAATTTCAGAGAGATCCATACACTTGAACACAAGTTATTGTCTGGAAACTAGAAAAATGCTTATTTTTGGCCCTTTTGGCCCCTTAATTATTCCTAAACGTTTAGGGCAATTACCCCCAAACTCAATTCAAGCTTTTCCTTTGTGATATGGGACCTTGTAGTACAATTTCAGAAAGATCCATACACTTACACACAAGTTATTGTCATGAAACTAGAAAAATGCTTGTTTTTTCCCCTTTTTTGGCCCTTAATTCCCAAATTTTGAGGCAATTACCCCTAAAATCTATCTCAGCATTCCCTTTGTGATATGGAACCCTGTGGTACAATGTCAGAGAGATCCATAAACTAACACACAAGTTATGTCTGGAAGTTACAATAAAATGCTTCACTGGGCGCAGCTTGATACGACCACAGAGGTCGAACCCTTAACAGTTGGGGCACAACATTCAAGCTTGATACAGCTCTGAATTTGGATTGTTATTAAATATTTGACACAGCATAGGTTTCTGACACAGAAAGAATGTGGTCTAAGAACTTGAATTTTTTTAATTTACCTATTATGGTCCAATGTCCAAAATCAAAATACATGGTTAGATTCAGCATATCAAAGAACCCCATATATTCAATTTTTGATAAAATCAAACAAAGTTTAATTTTGGACCCCAACTTGGACAAACTTGAAAACTGGGCCCATAATCAATAAATGTGGATAGTGTCCACATGTGGACACAGATGATGCCCCCGCTTGCATATCATATAGTTATAAAGGGACACAACTGAAGAACGGTAAAAGTGACACAACCCAAATTCAACTTGATCTGTGTTTTATCAGTGGAAGTCAAAATTAAACATTGCATTGTATAAAGCATTGATTGTAGTTGATTCAATTATAACCATGGTCAAAGGAAGATAACTCCAATTTTAAAAATATATAAAATAAACTTGATATTTAGAAGAAAATAAAAATTTGGCAATTTTTCCTTTTATAAAGGGGCATAACTCTAGATCGGTTAAAGTGACGCCACCAAAATTCAAACTTGATCTGTGTTTTGTAGTAATAAGCATTGTGTATAAGTTTCATAACATTTGGTTGAGGCAAACTTAAGTTAGAGAACGGAAACTAAAAATTTGCAATATTTCCTTTTATAAAGGGGCATAACTCTAGATCGGTTAAAGTGACGCCACCAAAATTCAAACTTGATCTATGTTTTGTGGTAATAAGCATTGTGTATAAGTTTCATAACATTTGGTTGAGGCAAACTCAAGTTAGAGAACGGAAACCAATTTCGGGACGTACGTACGTACGTACGTACGTACAGACGGACAAGGGTAAAACTTAATGCCCCCTCCGCTACGGCGGGGGCATAAAAATCTAAACACATGTTTAGATTCAGCATATCAAAGAACCCCAAGAATTCAATTTTTGTTAAAATCAAACTAAGTTTAATTTTGGACCCTTTGGACCTTAATGTAGACCAATTTAAAAAACGGGACTTAAAATTAAAAATCTAAATACACGGTTAGATTTGGAATATCAAAGAACCCCAATAATTCAATTTTTGATGAAATCAAACAAAGTTTAATTTTGGACCCTTTTGACCTCAATATGAACCAATTTGATAGCAGGGCCCACAAATAAAAAATCTAAATACATGGTTAGATTCAGCATATCAAAGAACCCCATATATTCAATTTTTGTTGAAATAAAAAAAAGTTTAATTTTGGACCCCAACTTGAAAACTGGGTCCATAATCAAAAATCTAAACACATGTTTAGATTCAGCATATCAAAGAACCCCAAGAATTCAATTTTTGTTAAAATCAAACTAAGTTTAATTTTGGACCCTTTGGACCTTAATGTAGACCAATTTAAAAAACGGGCCCAAATTAAAAATCTAAAAACACGGAAAACCCCAAGAATTCAATTTTTGTTAAAATCAAACTAAGTTTATTTTGGACCCTTTGGACCTTAATGTAGACCAATTTAAATAAAATGCTTCGCTGGGGCGCAGCTTGATACGACCACAGAGGTCGAATCCTGAACAGTTGGGGCAAATATGGACACAACATTCAAGCTTGATACAGCTCTGAATTTGGATTGTTATTAAATATTTGACACAGCATAGGTTTCTGACACAGAAAGAATGTGGTCAAAGAACTTGAATTTTTTTAATTTACCTATTATGGTCCAATGTCCAAAATCAAAATACATGGTTAGATTCAGCACATCAAAGAACCCCATATATTCAATTTTTGCTAAAATCAAACAAAGTTTAATTTTGGACCCCAACTTGGACAAACTTGAAAACTGGGCCCATAATCAAAAATCTAAACACATGTTTAGATTCAGCATATCAAAGAACCCCAAGAATTCAATTTTTGCTAAAATCAAACTAAGTTTAATTTTGGACCCTTTGGACCTTAATGTAGACCAATTTAAATAAAATGCTCCGCAGGGAGCAGCTTGATACGACCGCAGAGGTCGAACCCTGAACAGTTGGGGGAAGTATGGACACAACATTCAAGCTTGATACAGCTTTGGATTTGGATTGTGATTAAATATTTGACACAGCATAGGTTTCTAACACAGATTGAATGTGGTCTAAGAACTTAAAAATTTTAAATTGGACATTCACCTATTATGGTCCAATATCCAAAATCTAAATACATGGTTAGATTCAGCATATCAAAGAACCCCAAGAATTCAATTTTTGATGAAATCAAACAAAGTTTAATTTTGGACCCTTTTGACCTCAATGTGGACAAAGTTGATAACGGGGCCCAAAAATCAAAAATCTAAATACATGGTTAGATTCAGCATATCAAAGAACCCCATATATTCAATTTTTGTTGAAATCAAACAAAGTTTAATTTTGGACCCCGATTTGGACCAACTTGAAAACTGGGCCCATAATCAAAAATCTAAATACATGTTTAGATTCAGCATATCAAAGAACCCTAAGAATTCAATTTTTGTTAAAATCAAACTAAGTTTAATTTTGGACCCTTTGGACCTTAATGTAGACCAATTTGAAAACGGAACCAAAATTTAAGAATCTAAATACACAGTTAGATTCGGCATATCAAAGAACCCCAATAATTTTTGATGAAATCAAACAAAGTTTAATTTTGGACCCTTTGGACCTCAATGTGGACCAATTTAAAAACGGGGCCCAAAATCCAAAAACTAAATACACGGTTAGATTCAGCATATTAAAGAACCCCATGAAATCAAGAATAAAACCCCATTGAAATTGGTCAAGAAATAAGCAATTTATAGGAAGTATCTTCTTTTGCACAATCCTGTGCTATTAAATATTTCTTGCTATTGCGCAATACTGTACAATTGACAATTTCTTGCTATTGCGCAATATTGTGCTATTGAAGATTTCTTGCTATTGCGCAATACTGTGCAATTGAAGATTTCTTGCTATTGTGCAATACTGTGCAATTGAAAATTTCTTGCTATTGCACAATACTTATTATATAATAATTTACACATCCTGTTTGGTGTGTATCTCCTACCATATCATTATATTATTTGATTTTAAATATAAATCAGAAATAACCAACTTAAAATGGAAAATTTTAAAAGAAACAAAAAAGGAAAAAAAGAAAAAAAGGAAAAAAAAATAAATAGATTCAGCATATTAAAGAACCCCATGAAATCAAGAATAAAACCCCATTGAAATTGGTCAAGAAATAAGCAATTTATAGGAAGTATCTTCTTTTGCACAATCCTGTGCTATTAATTTTGTAAAAAAAAAAGATGCAACATTTGCAGATATTTTTACTGGTCTTCCTTTATAAATATGCATTTCTTTAAACATAATTTAAAAGCAGTGTAAGGGAAGTAACCAAAACGTTGTACTTGGATTACCTCCCTTACACTGTTTTATATTATCTTTATTGTTCATTAACCATTACTTTATACATAATTTAAAAGCAGTGTAAGGGAGATAATTTCAATGATGTATTTGATTTATCTCCCTTACACTGCTTTAAATTATGTTTTGTACTAAAGTATTTGTCCATTAACCAGGACAACCTTGTTTTTCCCCCTTTTTTGCCCCTAATTCCTAAACGGTTTGAGCCATAACCCCCCAAAGCAAATCCTAACCATCCCTTTGTGGTATGGAAACTTGTAGTATAATTTCAGAGAGATCCATACACCGTTCATCAGTGATTGTCTGGAAACTAGAAAATGCTTATTTTTGGCCCCTTTTTGGCCCTTAATTCCTTAACTGTTGGTACCATAACCCCCAAAATCAATCCCAACCTTCCTTTTGTGGTATTTAACCTTATGGTAAAATTTCAAAAAGATCCATTCACTTAAACTAAAGTTAGAGTGCGAAAACCAATGTGTCTTCGGACGACGACGCCGGACGACGACGACAACGTCATACCAATATAGGACCACAAAAATTTTTTGCGGTCGTATAAAAATGCTTATTTTTTGCCCCTTTTTGGCCCCTAATTCCTTAACTGTTGGTACCATAAACCCCAAAACCAATCCCAACATTCCTTTTGTGATATTGAACCTTATCGTAAAATTTCATAAAGATCCATTCACTTAAAACTAAAGTTAGAGTGCGAAAACCAATGTGTCTTCGGACGACAACACCGTTTGATGACGCCGAACGACGACGACGACGACGACGCCAACGCCATACCAATATACGACCACAAAATTTGTTTGCAGTCCTATAAAAAATGCAAAATCTTGTTAAAACTACCAATTCGGTGGCAGCAACCCAATAATGGGTTGTTTGATTCGTCTGAAAATATCAGGGCAGATAGATCTTGACCAATTAAACAATTTTACCCCTGT